TATATGTCTTGTGAAACTGAAGTAATAAACAGTACAGAATTCATATTGAAATGTTAGATAAAATGTGAGCGTCGACAGTATTATCAAGTTATGATACGTGTATGTTAATTCTAAAAAGGGACAAGATTTGTTTTTACTATTGTCAAAATTCCTTCTGTACAAGTTTTGGAGTAGGATAAGCATCATCGTCTAGTTGATCAAACGTCGTGAACACATGGGCCTGCCCAGTCTAATTGAACGGCGGAGTTTGGAGACAATAATGATGCACATGCTCTCAGTGTCGCCGTATCTGTCGTTCCACTACTGGATTACGTAGTGATTAGACGCAAAGTTTATATTTGGTATCTTAATGATAGCGCTCATTATATTGCCTACAGATCAATAACGCCCCTAATCACCGTCTTCAAATACACCATGGGCTGATTAAAAATGAACAGAAGTTGACGGCAATTTCTTTCGATTCAAAATAAAAATGGTTTTGATCTCGAATTACGTAGAAGAAAGTCAGTGATCCTGCTTTCGATGTAATGAAAATAAGTTTTTTTCTTTGACTAAAAACTATAAATATAAGATATGAAATTTCGCAAGCAGCAGAGATTTTTTTTGTTGGCCACTTATTTAAAGAACCTGATGAGTACCGAGGCAATTGTTGGCCACTCATTTAAAGAAATTGCTAAACACCGAGGCGATTGTTGGCCACTCATTTAAAGAACCTGCTGAACACCGAGGCGATTGTAGGCCTATCATTTATAGAAATTGCTGAATACCGAGGCGATTGTTGGTCTATCATTTATGGAATCTGCTGAACACCGAGGCGATTGTTGGCCTATCATTTAAAAACCCTTCTGAACACCGAGGCGTTTGTTGGCCTATCATTTTTAGAACCTGCTGAACACCGAGGTGAGTGTTGGCCTATCATTTAAAGAACCTGCTGAACACCGAGGCGATTGTTGGCCACTCATTTAAAAACCCTGCTGAACACCGAGGCGAGTGTTGGCCTATCATTTGAAGAACCTGCTGAACACCGAGGCGAGTGTTGGCCAATCATTTAAAGAACCTGCTGAACACCGAGGCGATTGTTGGCCTTTCATTTTAAAAAACTGCTGAACACCGAGGCGATTGTTGGCCTATCATTTAAAGAACCTGCTGAACACCGAGGCGATTGTTGGCCTATCATTTAAAGAACCTGCTGAACACCGAGGCGATTGTTGGCCTATCATTTAAAGAACCTGCTGAACACCGAGGCGATTGTTGGCCTATCATTTAAAGAACCTGCTGAACACCGAGGCGATTGTTGGCCTATCATTTAAAGAACCTGCTGAACACCGAGGCGATTGTTGGCCTATCATTTAAAGAACCTGCTGAACACCGAGGCGATTGTTGGCCTATCATTTAAAGAACCTGCTGAACACCGAGGCGATTGTTGGCCTATCATTTAAAGAACCTGCTGAACACCGAGGCGATTGTTGGCCTATCATTTAAAGAACCTGCTGAACACTGAGGCGATTGTTGGCCTATCATTTAAAGAACCTGCTGAACACCGAGGCGATTGTTGGCCTATCATTTAAAGAACCTGCTGAACACCGAGGCGATTGTTGGCCTATCATTTAAAGAACCTGCTGAACACTAAGGCGATTGTTGGCCTATCATTTAAAGAACCTGCTGAACACTAAGGCGATTGTTGGCCTATCATTTAAAGAACCTGCTGAACACTAAGGCGATTGTTTGCCTATCATTTAAAGAACCTGCTGAACACCGAGGCGATTGTTGGCCTATCATTTAATGAACATATTGAACACCGAGGCGATTGTTGGCCTATCATTTTAAGAACCTGCTGAACACCGAGGCGATTGTTTGCCTATCATTTAAAGAATCTGCTGACCACCGAGGCGATTGTAGGCCTATCATTTTAAGAAACTGCTGAACCCTAAGGCAATTGGTGACAACTCGTTCTAAGAAACTGCTGAACACTGAGGTCATTGGTGACAACTCATTTTAAGACACTGCTGAACACTGAGCCATTGGTGACAACTCATTTTAAGAAACTGCTGAACACCGAGGCAATTGTAGGCCTATCATTTTAAGAAACTGCTGAACACTAAGGCAATTGGTGACAACTCGTTCTAAGAAACTGCTGAACACTGAGGTCATTGGTGACAACTCATTTTAAGACACTGCTGAACACTGAGCCATTGGTGACAACTCATTTTAAGAAACTGCTGACCACCGAGGCAATTGTAGGCCTATCATTTTAAGAAACTGCTGAACCCTAAGGCAATTGGTGACAACTCGTTCTAAGAAACTGCTGAACACTGAGGTCATTGGTGACAACTCATTTTAAGAAACTGCTGAACACTGAGCCATTGGTGACAACTCATTTTAAGAAACTGCTGAACACTGAGGCCATTGGTGACAACTCATTTTAAGAAACTGCTGAACACCGAGGCAATTGTAGGCCTATCATTTTAAGAAACTGCTGAACACGAAGGCAATTGGTGACAACTCGTTCTAAGAAACTGCTGAACACTGAGGTCATTGGTGACAACTCATTTTAAGAAACTGCTGAACACCAAGGCAATTGGTGACAACTCGTTCTAAGAAATTGCTGAACACTGAGGTCATTGGTGACAACTCATTTTAAGAAACTGCTGAACACTGAGGCGATTGGTAACAACTCGTTTTAAGAAACTGCTGAACACTGAGGCCATTGGTGACAACTCATTTTAAGAAACTGCTGAACACCATGGCGATTGGTGACAACTCATTTTAAGAAACTGCTGAACACTGAGGCGATTGGTGACAACTCGTTTTAAGAAACTGGTGAACACCAAGGCGATTGGTGACAACTCATTTTAAGAAACTGCTGTACACCATGGCGATTGGTGACAACTCATTTTAAGAAACTGCTGAACACTGAGGCGATTGGTGACAACTCGTTTTAAGAAACTGCTGAACACCATGGTGATTGGTGACAACTCATTTTAAGAAACTGCTGAACACTGAGGAGATTGGTGACAACTCGTTTTAAGAAACTGCTGAACACCAAGGCGATTGGTGACAACTCATTTTAAGAAACTACTGAACACTGAGGCCATTGGTGACAACTCATTTGAAGAAACTGCTGAACACTAAGGCGATTGGTGAAAACTCATTTAAAGAACCTGCAGAACACTGAGGCGATTGGTGACAACTCATTTTAAGAAACTGCTGAACACCAAGGCCATTGCTGACAACTCATTTAAAGAACCTGCTGAACACCGAGGCGATTGTTGGCCTATCATTTAAAGAATCTGATGAAACACCGAGGCGATTGTTTGCCACTCATTCAAAGAACCTGCTGAACACCGAGGCGATTGTTGGCCTATCATTTAAAGAATCTGATGAAACACTGACGCGATTGTTTGACACTCATTTAAAGAATCTGATGAAACACTGACGCGATTGTTTGACACTCATTTAAAGAAACTGATGAAACACTGACGCGATTGTTTTACACTCATTTAAAGAATCTGATGAAACACTGAGGCGATTTTTGGCCACTTATTTAAAGAACCTGCTGAACACTGAGGCGATTGTTGGCCTATCATTTAAAGAATCTGATGAAACACCGAGGCGATTGTTTGCCACTCATTCAAAGAACCTGCTGAACACCGAGGCGATTGTTGGCCTATCATTTAAAGAATCTGATGAAACACTGACGCGATTGTTTGACACTCATTTAAAGAATCTGATGAAACACTGACGCGATTGTTCGACACTTATTTAAAGAAACTGATGAAACACTGACGCGATTGTTTGACACTCATTTAAAGAATCTGATGAAACACTGAGGCGATTGTTGGCCACTTATTTAAAGAACCTGCTGAACACTGAGGCGATTGTTGGCCACTTATTTAAAGAACCTGCTGAATGCTGAAACAGTAGGCTAAACACTTCAAGAACTCGTTGGAAACAGAGGCAATGGAAGGCCAAACATTTAAAGACCCTTGTGAGGACAGAGGCGAAAATAGACCACACATTTTAACACTGAGGTGAAGATAGGCTACTCATTTAAAGAATCTGTTAAATATAGAGACAGTGGTAGGCCACCCATTTTAAGAGCTTGCTAAACTCAGCGACAGTTGTATGCCATATATTTATTGAGCTTACTTACTTCAGAGACAGTTGTAGGCCACATATTTATTGAGCTTACTTACTTCAGAGACAGTTGTAGGCCACATATTTATTGAGCTTACTTACTTCAGAGACAATGGTAGGAAACTCATTTAGAAAATGTTGAGCCTGGAGACAGTGGTACACAACATATTTCAGAAACTGATGAGCACCGAGACAGCACAATGTAGTAATTTTAAACTGAAATGAGTCATTTATCAATTGTGTCACGTATATTCGTTCCTAAAATTGCTAAGACATGTTTTACAGAACAAAAGTTTACATGATTGTAAGCATTGTGAAAAGAAATATGAATACAGAGGTAGACAATGTATTCATTTCTGTTTATATATTCATTTTATCGACAACTTGCATTTCCTCATAGTGCCTTTGATGAACAGTAGCCTCTATCAGCTCAGCTTTCCACTCCCCCCCCCCCATACACCCACCCACATACCCCTGAAAGCTTTTTTCGCAAAGTTGTTGTTATGTAGAGAAATGTCACTCATTTATGTGTATGCGTAGCCATTTTTAAACCCTAAGCTGAAGAAAACAACAATTATCATAAACAGCTTTAGGCCACAAAAGCTTTTGTATCACAATTTCAAAACATCATTTGAATAAGTTTACCTGTCAGCAGTATTCTACATACAATGTAGGACGACAAAGCTGTATCAGGTAGTAAGTTTAACAAACATACCTGTACTATATATGGTCATTTGTTCCTCCAAGTTTGTTACCTACAGACGTGATACGAATTTACAATATTCCCGTATTATGTCATTATTGTTTTCATCAAAGTATATTGCACACTATGCATTCATGCACCATGACTTTAACAAACTTACCTGTAATGTAATTGGGTGACAATATACTGTTAATTCACATAAAACTATGCTCCAGCATTGAACTCCCGTCTGCTATGTTGCTCTCGGCGACATCGACTTTGTGCGTCCTGCATCTGAATAGAGTACATATTAAACTGCCATAAATAAACGGGGTAGGACTTTAAATGGCGTTCTACATACAAGAAAGTAAACACGCCCGGTATCAACGTATACCTGTAGTTCAGAGTGTACGTACCTGGTAGGAGTGTAAACAGACTGGGTCCTGTTCGTGTGTGCGTACGGATTACCAGTAAATCAGGCAGTAAATCCCAATCTATCCTCTATTCTCTAATAAGTATAATGAAACACTGTCACCCCGTTTTTAAGCAGGTGAGATGACGCTACTACTTAGTAAGGTTTGTACGGAGCATGTAAGTATAATGAAACACTGTCACCCGTTTTTAAGCAGGTGAGATGACGCTACTACCTAGTAAGGTTTGTACGGAGCATGTAAGCAGCACACAAACCTACGTCTAGCTGACTCACATTCATACAGGGACCATGGAATTACCAAATATATATTCTTAAAGTGAAACCATTTTCAAACCACACTTAAATATCTTTATTCTTGTCGTTAAGCTTTGTTGGTCTCCGTCTGATACATCAGTCATGTATCGGTTATGTAAAATCAGTTGTATCTGTCTGTGATAGAAAACATCATTATGTATATGTCTGTGATAGAAAACATCATTATGTATATGTCTATGGTTGTAAACATCATTATGTATCTGTCTATGATAGTAAACATTATTATGTATCTGTCTATGATAGTAAACATCATTATGTATCTGTCAATGATTGTAAACATCATTATGTATCTGTCTATAATAGTAAACATCATGATGTATCTGTCTATGATTGTAAATCATTATTACGTATCTGTCTATGATTGTAAAACATTATTATTTATCTGTCTATGATAGTAAACATCATTATGTATCTGTCTATGATTGTAAAACATTATTATGTATCTGTTTATGATTGTAAACATCATTATGTATCTGTCTATGATAGTAAACATCATTATATATCTGTCTAAGATAGTAAAGCATTATTATGTATCTGTCTATGATAGTAAACATTATTATGTATCTGTCTATGATAGTAAACATTATTATGTATCTGTCTATGATAGTAAAGCATTATTATGTATCTGTCTATGATAGTAAACATTATTATGTATCTGTCTATGATAGTAAACATCATTATGTATCTGTCTATGATTGTAAACATCATGATGTATCTGTCTATGATAGTAAACATCATGATGTATCTTTCTATGATTGTAAAGCATTATTATGTATCTGTCTATGATAGTAAACGTCATTATGTATCTGTCTATTATTGTAAAGCATTATTATTTATCTGTCTATGATAGTAAAGCATTATTACGTATCTGTCTATGATCTGTCTATGATAGTAAACGTCATTATGTATCTGTCTATGCTAGTAAACAGCATTATGTATCCGTCTATGATAGTAAACATCATATTTATCTGTCTATGATAGTAAAGCATTATTATGTATCTGTCTATGACAGTGAACATCATTAGGTATCTGTCTATAATAGTTAAAATCATTATGTATCTGTCTATAATAGTTAAAATCATTATGTATCTGTCTACAATAGTTAAAATCATTATGTATCTGTCTATTATTGTAAACATCATTACGTATCTGTCTATGATCTGTCTATGATAGTAAACGTCATTATGTATCTGTCTATGATAGTAAACATCATTATGTATCTGTCTATGATAGTAAACATCATGATGTATCTGTCTATGACAGTGAACATCATTATGTATCTGTCTATAATAGTTAAAATCATTATGTATCTGTCTATGATAGTAAACGTCATTATGTATCTGTCTATGATAGTAAACAGCATTATGTATATGTCTGTGTTAGTAAACATCATTATGTATCTGTCTGTGATAGTAAACATCATTATGTATCTGTCTGTGATAGTAAACATCATTATGTATCTGTCTATGATTGTAAAACATCATTATGTATCTGTCTATGATAGTGAACATCATAATGTATCTTTCAATGATAGTAAACATCATTATGTATCTGTCTATGATAGTAAACATCATTATGTATCTGTCTATGATAGTAAACATCATTATGTATCTGTCTATGATTGTAAACATCATTATGTATCTGTCTATGATTGTAAACATCATTATGTATCTGTCTATGATAGTAAAGCATTATTATGTATCTGTCTATAATAGTAAACATCATTATGTATCTGTCTATGATTGTAAACATCATTATGTATCTGTCTATGATTGTAAACATCATTATGTATCTGTCTATGATTGTAAACATCATTATGTATCTGTCTATGATTGTAAACATCATTATGTATCTGTCTATGATTGTAAACATCATTATGTATCTGTCTATGATTGTAAACATCATTATGTATCTGTCTATGATTGTAAACATCATTATGTATCTGTCTATGATTGTAAACATCATTATGTATCTGTCTATGATTGTAAACATCATTATGTATCTGTCTATGATTGTAAACATCATTATGTATCTGTCTATGATTGTAAACATCATTATGTATCTGTCTATGATTGTAAACATCATTATGTATCTGTCTATGATTGTAAACATCATTATGTATCTGTCTATGATTGTAAACATCATTATGTATCTGTCTATGATTGTAAACATCATTATGTATCTGTCTATGATTGTAAACATCATTATGTATCTGTCTATGATAGTAAAGCATTATTATGTATCTGTCTATGATAGTAAACATCATTATGTATCTGTCTATGATTGTAAACATCATTATGTATCTGTCTATGATTGTAAACATCATTATGTATCTGTCTATGATTGTAAACATCATTATGTATCTGTCTATGATTGTAAACATCATTATGTATCTGTCTATGATTGTAAACATCATTATGTATCTGTCTATGATTGTAAACATCATTATGTATCTGTCTATGATTGTAAACATCATTATGTATCTGTCTATGATTGTAAACATCATTATGTATCTGTCTATGATTGTAAACATCATTATGTATCTGTCTATGATTGTAAACATCATTATGTATCTGTCTATGATTGTAAACATCATTATGTATCTGTCTATGATTGTAAACATCATTATGTATCTGTCTATGATTGTAAACATCATTATGTATCTGTCTATGATTGTAAACATCATTATGTATCTGTCTATGATTGTAAACATCATTATGTATCTGTCTATGATTGTAAACATCATTATGTATCTGTCTATGATAGTAAAGCATTATTATGTATCTGTCTATGATAGTAAACATCATTATGTATCTGTCTATGATTGTAAACATCATTATGTATCTGTCTATGATTGTAAACATCATTATGTATCTGTCTATGATTGTAAACATCATTATGTATCTGTCTATGATTGTAAACATCATTATGTATCTGTCTATGATTGTAAACATCATTATGTATCTGTCTATGATTGTAAACATCATTATGTATCTGTCTATGATTGTAAACATCATTATGTATCTGTCTATGATTGTAAACATCATTATGTATCTGTCTATGATTGTAAACATCATTATGTATCTGTCTATGATTGTAAACATCATTATGTATCTGTCTATGATTGTAAACATCATTATGTATCTGTCTATGATTGTAAACATCATTATGTATCTGTCTATGATTGTAAACATCATTATGTATCTGTCTATGATTGTAAACATCATTATGTATCTGTCTATGATTGTAAAGCATTATTATGTATCTGTCTATGATAGTAAACATCATTATGTATCTGTCTATGATTGTAAACATCATTATGTATCTGTCTATGATTGTAAACATCATTATGTATCTGTCTATGATTGTAAACATCATTATGTATCTGTCTATGATTGTAAACATCATTATGTATCTGTCTATGATTGTAAACATCATTATGTATCTGTCTATGATTGTAAACATCATTATGTATCTGTCTATGATTGTAAACATCATTATGTATCTGTCTATGATTGTAAACATCATTATGTATCTGTCTATGATTGTAAACATCATTATGTATCTGTCTATGATTGTAAACATCATTATGTATCTGTCTATGATTGTAAACATCATTATGTATCTGTCTATGATTGTAAACATCATTATGTATCTGTCTATGATTGTAAACATCATTATGTATCTGTCTATGATTGTAAACATCATTATGTATCTGTCTATGATAGTAAAGCATTATTATGTATCTGTCTATGATAGTAAACATCATTATGTATCTGTCTATGATTGTAAATATCATCATTTATCTGTCTATGATAGTAAACATCATGATGTATCAATCTATGATTGTAAAGCATTATTATGTATCTGTCTATGATAGTAAACATCATTATGTATATGTATATGATAGTAAACGTCATTATGTATCTGTCTATGATAGTAAACAGCATTATGTATCTGTCTATGATAGTAAACAGCATTATGTATCTGTCTATGATAGTAAACAGCATTATGTATCTGTCTATGATAGTAAACATCATTATGTATCTGTCTATGATTGCAAACATCATGCTGTATCTGTCTATGATTGTAAACATCATTATGTATCTGTCTATGATAGTAAACATCATTATGTATCTGTCTATGATTGTAAACATCATGATGTATCTGTCTATGATTGTAAAGCATTATTATGTATCTGTCTATGATTTTAAAACATTATTATTATCTGTTTATGTAAAAATCATCATCATGTATATGTCTATGATAGTAAAACATTATTACGTAATAGTCTATCATAGTAAAACGTTAAGTATCTGTCTATGATAGTAAAGTTTTAGTATGTAAGGTCTATCATAGTAAAACGTTATGTATCTGTCAATGACAGTAAAACAAGACCATATTACATATATCAGTAAACAACATCATGCAAAGGTCTATTAAAATGTAAATTTTCTAATGTATCGTATTTCAAAAATGTTTTCATTCTTCTTTGTTCTTTACCTATCAATTCAGACTCGGATAATAATGTTGAAGCGAAGAGTTAATTATAGAAAATTGATTTTATCCCGTTCCTAGTCTTTACTTTAGTATGTAGATAAAAAAGGTCGACACATTTTACAAAAATAGACCTATTATAGCTGCAACGTTAACCTGGTCATAATATCAAAGACATACCAGCAAAGTGCACCGACATCTTTCATGGTTGGCCTACAAACCTCGGAAGCTGTTAGCATTAAAATATAATACACACATGGACGTGTCTTATGATAACCTAATCGTATACTGTTACTGGGCAATGTGCAGACAACATGTGCACGCCTCACCGCCCTACTTTGTTTAACTATTTTGTGTTGATTGGTGACCTCCAGCACGATTTAGGAATCAAACTATGTCACCCGTGGCGAATAAC